GGGGAACCGCCACTATGCGCAACTCCGGGTGCCACCGTCCGGTCCCCGGTGTCGACCCTGCCCTCCGGAGTCCGTGCGGCCGGTGGAAGCATCGATCCTGCACTATCTCTGCCGCCGTCGCTGCGTCTGCTGGACCCCACCTCACCCGCACCGGACTCCCTCCCTCTAACGCCGCTGAGCGACGAACCCGACCAGTGAGGGCTCTGCACTGTGAACGGCGGCGGTGAATATACCCTCCCAGGGGCCCGCTGCTTGCCGCTCTTGCGGCTCAGGTGTGTGAAAGGGTCATCCGTCAACGCATGCGCCAAAGCGTCGGCATCGAAGAAAGTGTGCGTTGTGCCGTCAGGGCGCATGGGAGGCACTGTGGGGTCCCTCAACACCAAGGCGAGCCTATACGGATCGTCCTCCGGACCGTGGTCGTCGTCATCGTCGCCGTCCGGTCCATCGTCTCCACTGACACCCGCGATATCCCCATCTCCACCGGGTCCACCCTCTCCTTTGCCGCTCACTGCGGCACCCTGTCCCTCATCACCCGCGGTCTCGCTGTTGCCACGACCCCCACTAGGGGACCCACCGCCCATGACAACATCCTGCCCCTTAGGGACACCCGCGGCGGCATCCTGCCCCTCATAATCGAGCTCCCCCTGAACCGCCTTCTCAGGGACATCCGAGTCGTCGACGTCACGGCTCCCCTCCCCTCCTGTCTCCAAGTCCCTCTGCCGACGCTGCTCGTCGAGATACGCGAACCGACCCTCCCATTGTGGCAAACTCCTCAGCCGCTCCTCCTCCTCTCGGTCCAAACAGGCATCCCTCTCCTCCTCAGTCTCAACAAAGCCCCGCTCAACGTCCGCGTCTGTGCGCACATCCTGCGGTGAGGCACGTCGACGTCCCTCGACACTAAAATCTTCCAAGCTCCCACCAAGCCCTATGTCCTCGAAGTCCTGTGTGCGGAGCACCGATGGCGAGCGGGGGCGGATACCGGCGTCGGAAGGAGTCCTCTCCCCCCCACGATCCTCGCCGTCATGTGTCCGGTCTCTGCCTGCTGCCGACGCCAACCTCTCCGAACGCGTGAGTGGCTCCCCCTCGGGTTGTGCAGAGATCGGATGATGGGAGGGAGAGAAGCGACGATCGCGAAGGGGCACCTCCTCATTCTCGGCCTCCCCCTCCGCCTCGCTGTCGCTCCTAACCTCCCGAGTCCCAATGCCTGTCTGTCTACCGAAGACCTCCCCGTGGCTGCTGCTCCCCCAAGTCGTCCACGCGAACGTCCGCATGCGAACGTCCTCCATGACCACCGCCGGCTCTGCTGCTGCCACTCACCGGCACGGTCGACGGCACAGCACCGGTGATAATTGATGTGAATGAATCTGTGCCGTCACGACCCCCACCGTAAGTGAAGTACACTCGCTCAACCGTCGGGTCGCGACTCAGCGGCGTGTCATCATCGTCAGTCCAGTCGTCGTCGATGTCGTCGTCTGCCGCAGCAGCGTCCACATCATCCCCACCCTCCGGCCACGGTCGCAGCTCCATCGCTCTGCTGCCGAACACGTCCCGAACCGAACGGGCTCTGGACGGTCGGCTGTCACGGAAAGCGACAATTTGCCGCTGGATCTCCTGCTCGGGAACACTGCCATCAGGTCGCGCTCCCCACACCTCGGGCTCCACATCTCCTTCCTCATCCTCCTCCTCTGCCGCCGTCCCCCCCCGACCGCTCCCCATAACCCATGGCAACACGTAGCCACCACCCTGCCGTGCGCACGAGGCCAGTTTGAGATTGGTGGCAATCTCAACTAGCTGTGCAAGCTTGGCGAACCCAAGCTTGCAGCTCCTCGCCGTGCTGACGCGCTCGTGCTCTGCCCAGTTCCTCTCCGCTGGAGAGGCAGACGTCCACAAGTGCATGACACGGATGGCGATGGTGCGCAACTCCCGGTGGGCACGTCCATGCTCGAACCACCACGCTACACATCGCTCGGTCTCGCTGTCCCCCCTGCAATCTGCCGCCTCGGCATCAGAGAGCTCACGATCTCCCCAATCCCCTCGCCTCGAGTGGAACGCCCTCATCTGGTCCCTCATGGTCCTGTACAATAACCCGACCGGATCGCCGCCGGTCTGCGCTAGGAGAAATCTGTCGCACTCCTCGACCACAAGGCGGTCGTCGGCGGTCGTCTGCAGCGAATGGTAATACGTGAGGGACCGTCAGCGAGGGTTGAGGAGGTGGGCCGCGGCATGTGCGGGCTCTAGCATGTGGAGGTTGCGGATGGCAACCTCATGCACGCACGGCTCGATCATGTCCGTCGGGACATCGACCCTCCTCATCAACTGCAGCAGATGCTGAATCCACTCGTAAAGGACGGACATCATCATCCCACCTCTATCCATCCTGCGCAACAGCTGGTGGACGGGCGACATGACTAGGATGGTGTAATGGACACGCTGCCAAAACTCCCCGTCCCGGATCTGCTGCTGCACCCACTGCGCCTGAGATACGTGGGCGCCATCCCATGGGATGCGTGCCCAAGCATCCCCGTGCAACATGCTCTCCAACGCGTCCCGTCGGCCTTTGAGACACGTCAGCATCAGGAAAACCGATGCAAACCGTGTCTCAACGGGATCGACGAGCTGAACGCGAGGGCTCACCTTCCTAAACAGGGCGTGAGCAGCGCCGTGCGATTTAATAAATCGCACAAGTGCTCGAGAGTGGATGACGGTCTCCTTGACCCACACCACTCGCGTCCCGATATCTGACAACATCAAGTTGCAGACATGGGTGGAGCAGGGGAGCCAAGTGATCCTCCTGATGTCAGGCTCGGGGTCTGTGGGGAACCTACGTGCCGCCGCCGTATAGTTACTGGCGGAGTCTGTGCAGAAGCCGATCACGTCCTTCGCAGGAAAGGTCAAGATGATGGCCCGCCACCTACGGTACACGACGTCTGCTGTGTCTCGGACCGACCCATCAGGTGCGACGGTGGCTTACAGCAGGGCGCCATTGGCGCCCCTGGCCAGGAAGTTCACGAGCAGCTTGCCGGTGCGCGATTTCCTCCCATCGGAAAGGATAGTGGCACCGCTGTGCCGGAAAGTGGCGCGCACCTCGCTCACCATCGTCGCCACCTTCGCCCTCTACGAAGGGATACCGGTCCCCGCTGTAGCCCTGAAGGAGGGAAACCGGAACTGGATGGAGCGAGGCACTCTCTCTGCTGCCTGCCGCACCCTCTGGAACTCCGGACCACGGAAGGCGTTGAATGGCAACTTCTTCACGTAGATCCACTGAAGCCACGCGTCATGGAACTCGGCCAACTTCTCCCTGGCGTACATCTCGACAATCGTGGTCTGCCGAGCCCTCTTCTCCCTGCCCGTGTCTGGCACCTCGACGCCAGCCTGCCCCACTATCCTCTTCTCCCTTCTCGCGCGCTCCACCTCACCTCGCGGCGCCCTAGTAGCATGACCCGCTCCACCGATGCCTCTCGACGTCATCACCACCTCCTCCCCTGGCAAGTTAGGCTCTCCGACTGCCACGTCTGCCTCGTCTGCAACCGCCCCCTCCCTGGCCCCACCCTCGCGGCCCTCCTCATCGAGGGCGTCCTGAATGTCGTCCCTCTCCTCGTCGTCCATCCGCTGTCTCTGGCCACCCGCGGGCGCTCTCGTGTCCCGTATGCCCTCGTCTGCCATCCACCTCTGCACCCGCTGAGCAGTGGACGACACAAATGTGTAGTCCGTGTCGTTCCAGAGTTCCGCGAGAACTCTCATCCCCCCAGCCTTGCAGAACTTCGACTGCGTAAAATGATGCGCGACCTTCGACGACCCCCCCTGAAACAGGTGGCCGCATAAGTTGCAACGCAACTTTCGGTCCCCGTGCATCTTCGATTGGTCCCCGACGTACTGGCCCGCGGTGATGTAGTTCCAAACAATGTTCCCTCGCCTAAACTTCGCCATCTCCTTCTCGGACAGTGGGTCGAATTGGGCACCCCCAGACCCCCCCGCACCGCTGCTCCCTGCACCCCCTGTCATCGCCCCCCCACCAGGATCCAACAAGTCGTGACCTCGATCTTCGATGTCGTCTGACCGTGACGCACCGTCGATGTAGCGTCCCCTCGATGTCGCCGCACCCCGACGCCCCCGCCGCTCCTGCCGCCGTGTCCCGTTGATGTCGCGCCAGGCTATGATCCACCAGCACTCCGGCCGGCCGCCCGCAACCAGTCCTCCGAGGCGGCAGCTCTGCCTAGCCGTCGTCGGCCGCCGTCGGCCGTGATCGGCCTCGTTCGGCCACGTTCGGCCGTGACCGGCCGTGTTCGGCCGTGTTCGGCCGCGGCCGGGCACTAAAAACGCCGCGCGCTTGAAAAAAACGCGCGCGGCGATGGCGGCGGCCGCAGGGCAGCGCGGGGCCACTGTCCCTCGTGCTCGCGCAGCGCGCGCCGCTGCAGGGTGCGCAGGAAGAAGAAGAAGAAGAAGAAGTAGAAGAAGAAGATCTCTCTCTCTCTCTTTCTCTCTCTCTCTCTCTCTCTCTCTCTCTCTCTCTCTCTCTCTCTCTCTCTCTCTCTCTCTCTCTCTCTCTCTCTCAGAGTGGTGAGCAGGCATTTCGGCAGCAGAACGGCAACAGCAACAACTGTTGCCGTTTCAGATAAATGGCAGCATTTAAACGGCAACAGTTTTGCCG